TGCTATGGCCCCACTTCCTCTAAAATACAAACAGACAAAAAAACACAATAACTTTCTAGAATCTCAACCCCAATTTGCATTTTTCCAGTTGAGATTGAAGTGTGTAATTTAATGAATTTTTAAAAAAGACCACTCATTTCACCTTACATTCCTATCTAATTAAATGTTTGGTAATAACTGTCATATAAAAAGGTGTGTGGAAGAACATGGAAATCTTTATAAAACTACTCTCAATAAAATAATAATTTGCTTCAATAGCATCATAGCAGATTCCTCATTTATGTTGGTAGGATAAAATACATAATTTTCTAACTTACTGCAATTGTTACCTCTAAATACTGCTTTGGCAAGAATTGTCTTATCTTTGAAGAATATATAAAAACTGTTATTTAATCCAGGATGGGATTAGACTAAATTTTATTTGTAATTAGAGGAAGGTCAGCAGCCTCTTTATTTGCTAATTTATAATTTATAATGAGCAAATGGTTACTATATTTTATGGGGGGAAATAAGGTTTTGTTCCTTAGCAGTAATAGGCTTTTCATAAGTTGAGATCTTTCCCAGTACACCATTTGTTTGGCTGAAAAAACTGGACTCTGGTTTAAGAAAAGTGAAGTTGGGCCAATCTTTGTTTTGGTTAATAAGAAAGAATTCCTGTCCTTCTGTGCTGTGTGTCATGAGCTAGCATTTTGAATATGAAAAGCTGTTTTTTCTCTTCATCCTTCACCATATTCTTTTGTTTCTATGGTATGTGTAGAATTCTATTGATATTAGTAATGTGGCTTCTGACTTGGAGTTCTAATGTACAATACCCCTTATACTCAAATACCCCTGCTGATGTACTCTTCACTCCCATCTTACACTACAACCTCATCTCCCCATGCCATGGTCCTTGCCTTCCCAGTGATCCAAAGCCAGCTATTTGAGTCTAGTCTTTCCAATAGCTAGCACATCATAGAGTTAGCAATGTCCATTTTCATTATGCAATACTAGAGGCCTGATGCATGAAAATTCATGCAAGAGTAGGCCTTCCTTCCCCCAGCTGCCAGCACTGGCTTTCCTCTGGCACCCGGGACCTGGGCTTTCCTCCTCCAGCCGCCCACAGGCACCTGGGACCCAGGTTGGCTCCCCCCGGCTTTGTCAGGAAGGATGTCCGGAATGACAGCTGGAAGATGACTGAGCTAATTAGCATATTACCCTTTTATTATTATAGATGATAGATCATAATCTAAACATATTAGTCAGTGTAGAGGTAATTAGAGAGAGAGAGGTTTCTAAAGTAGGGAGTTTTCCATTGAGCTAGAAAAAAGATCTTTTCAAAGAAAAAATGTTTTGAGTGGTAGGCAAGTTCCTAAATTGGCTATAAAAATAGCAGAGTGATGGCAAAGCAAGGGCATGGGCTTTGGAGTAAGGAGGAGGAGAAATCATTTCAACTACTTAGTCTATCATTCTTTTTAAAGTTATTATTTTTTATTTTCTCAGTGTCCCTCAAATGTAAGGTTCCCTCATTTGTAAAATGAGGATAATAATTCCCCTCAGAATTGTGAGGATTGTGTGACAACCTCTATATAACATTATTATAGGGATTTGTTCATGACACTCATGAACAAATTATGAATAAATGAATTAAAGAAACATTAATTTGTTATGCAGTGTAGAAAACAAATACATGTAACTTAGGAAAGGTAATATAAAGAAGTCTAGCTGTAGTCCTTATTGTATTATTTATTACTAGAGGCCCGGTGCACGAATTCGTGCACCAGTGGGGTCCCTTGGCCTGGCCTACAGGATCAGGCCAAAACCGGCTTTCTGACATCCCCTGAGGGGTCCCAGATTGCGAGAGGGTGCAAGCCAGGCTGAGGGACCCCACCGGTGCATGATTGGGGCCGGGGTGGGACACGGGAGGTTGGCCAGCTGGGGAGGGACTGCGGGAGGGCTCCAGGGTGTTTCCAGCCCATCTTACTCAGTCCTGATCAGCCAGATGCCAGCAGTAAGCTAACCTACCGGTTGGAGCATCTGCCCCCTGGTGGTCAGTGCACGTCATAGCGAATGGTTGAGCGGCCTTAGCATATCATTAGCATATTACACTTTGATTGGTTGAACGGCCGACTGGATGACCAGACACTTAGCATATTAGGCTTTTATTATATAGGTTAATAACATGAAAACACTTGACCTTGATAGCAATTGGATATTAGAGAAATGAGCTATAGTATGTATAGAGCGACTCTATCTGTCAACAGTGTTCTATGTGTTCAAGATATTGCAGTGAAAAAATTTCTTATCTCCTTCGAGTTTAAAAACTAGTAGAGAATAAATGAGTTTCTATTAAAATACCCTAAATGAAGCAACCCAAAAAATAAGATCACTTCTCAGAGCCATTTCAATTTTGTCTAGGCCTAAACACTGATGGGAACAGAGAAAAATAATAAAAAGGAAAGGATGAATAAGAAGATTACTAGCTTATAATATAAAATTTACAAGTGGTAGCTTCCAATTCTGTGAATTACAGAATCTCATAGGGTTTCTAGGGATTACATTTCATCACTTATAGAAATTGCTTAGTTATAAGTAGTGAATATTCCCTTCCTAAACAAACAAACAAACAAACAAAACCCCCCTACAACTATTACCTCTTAATATGGCTGGAAGGTTTTCAAGAATTCCTATTATTGTTCCATGACATTTGATATTTTTTCCAATTTATATGTAGTATCTCTTAGAGAAATGTTCAATAATTATTTGTATGTTTGAATGCAGGGTTATATATAGGTTATATATAACTTATTATAACCCATTCTACTACTACTAATTCCTAACTGAAGAATGAGTTTTGTATCAAAAAATGTGTGAGGAACTCTAGGTTTGATGATTTGTAACTCCAAACTGAATGCATAGAAACACTGTTATCTTAGAATCTCAAACTATGCACAAGAAGTCACCTCATCTCCTACTGAGGCTAAATGCTACTAGTATTTAAGGGTAGGGCTAAGCAGTGCAAGTTTTGAATGCAGATTTCTTCTTGCCTCATTACTTCTCTGCTGGCAAGCCTGACAGTTTTCAATAATTCAATCACATTAATGTGGAACTAATATATTATTGTTCCCTCAACAATTATTTTACTTCAAAGAAATAACCGCACAGTGTGTTAAAATATTGAAATCAAAGCTAAAGGGGGTTGTAGATATTTCCACATTTCCAAAAATCCTACTAATTTTCTATTCTGAAGTTTTGTCTTGTTCAACCCAGCTCTTTTCCATGTCTCTTCCATTCAAAGCTTAGAGATGAAGTCTGTCCCACACATCAATTCAGAGCCTCCAAGAAAGAGATGATTTTTGAGTCCCAGTCCGTTTGGTAGGGCGCTGAGAGGGAAAATGGGACTTGCTACAGTTCAATCTCTTATATAAATATAGACTAGTTAAAGATTCAGGTAATAGATCTTTCCTGTGAGTAAACTAAATAGGAATTACTTTACTTGGCTTGTGAAAGATAAATAATTGTATTTAAGAAGGATGAGGTGCTTCGGGAGGAAGAGAGGAGTTAGTGGTGGAGGTGGCCGTGAAGCTAGGACAAGAAGCAGAAGAGTAAGTAGGTTAATGTTGTCCAGCACATTTGATAACTTTTTTTTAGTCTTGGTAGTTTTGGTCAGAAGTGCCACTGAAAGGTGTCTGCTCTGCAAACCTATGCCTCATACAGCATAATTACTTAGGAGCTGAAAGGTATTATAAATACTAAGGTACTATAAGTTTGGTTTCACAATTTGACATATGATTTATATCCTGATTTAAATTGTTCAGTTCAGTGGCAGAGATGTATAAAAGTCTTGGAGTTAATTATTTGTATCTGATATCTGGATGATACTAGATGCTTTTTTTACCTAATCAATTATTATGAGCTATATTTACAGTAATCCTATCATTAGAACCACCCTTTTGATTTACAGATAAAGAAACTGAAGCTTAGGAAGAGGATCAATAACTTTCCCAAGGCTACATAGATTTGAAATTGAGTCTATTTATAAGCTTTAAAGTTAATTATCTCAAATGGAATATTAAGCCTATGTTTTTTCACAGATTTTTTTCTCCCTAATTAGTTGGTTATTGATCTCAAATCTTATAGAATAGTTGGGTTATATCCTGGCTTTGACTGCCCAATTCAGTTAAACATGCAATTTGAGTTCTTTTTTTTTTAATATATATTTTTTATTGATTTCAGAGAGGAAGGGAGAGAGAGAGATAGAAACATCAATGATGAGAGAGAAGCATTGATTATCTGCCTCCTGCACATCAAAGGTGGCCTCCTGGCTCATAGGTTGAACCTATGACCACTGAGCCACACTTGTAGGGCTATCTTTATTCTTTAGACTGGTTTTGATCATGAATGGAGTGCTGGGCCACATGGTCACCAAGATGTTTCTAATCCTCAACTCCTAAAAATCCCTATATTTTGTAGATTCAGTGTTTGAGCCTAGCTCACTTACTCTTTCCTAAATATAATGCCTTGTATTTGTTGTTAATATATGCATACTGTTATTAATGGTAATATACCACTTACCTCTAATGTGAGTTGACTGTGTAGCTAGTAATTGTAACCATTTATTGCATTTCTTGTACACCAGGAAATATATTAAGTGCATTGTATAGATGATCACAACAGCTCCATAAGGTGTATTTTAAAGTTCCCATTTCATGGAGAAGGAAGCTAAGGCTCAGGTTTTGACTTATCCAAGATCAAGCTATAGAGTGGCAGAGTCAGAATTCCAGCCCTTGTATGTTAGACAACAAAGCCATTATTATTATTATATTATTATGTTAATCCTCACCCAAGGATATTTTTTTCCATTGATTTTTAGAGACTAGGACGAAGGAAGGGAGGGAGGGAATAGGGGAGAGAGAGGGAGAGAGAGAGAGAGAGAGAGAGAGAGAGAGAGAGAACATTAACCTAGATTGGTTGCCTCCCCCACACCCCCACTGGGCGTGGATAGAACCTGAAACCCAGTTACGTGCCTCAGACTAGGAATCAAACCCGCTACCCTTCGGTGCGCGGGACGACGCTCTTACACCACCGTCCAGGCCCCCTTGTATGTTTAGTGGAATATTAATGAAACTGTGTTTATTTTCTAATTCTGGTTTAAGCTTAAATATCATGAATATTGTTTTTTCAACCAGTTTTTTCTGGATTTTATTAGTTGCTGTCTGATTTTACTAAGTGCTTACTTCGTTCTGCCCGCTTTACCGAAGGGGAGAAGTAGAGTGGGAAAGAGGTTAAATGCCTTTTTCAAAGTCCAACTTTGCAGCTGAGGGTAGCAGGAGGACTGAAGCTCCTGGCTTTGTGCCTCTGCAGTGATCCGCAGGTCTCCTTCCGCGTCTTCCCCACCCCCTCAGAAGTCGGTTGTCCCGCTGAACTACGTTTCCCGGCGTGCCGCGCGCCAGCGAGCGCGGGCTTGACCAGCCCTTCCTTCTTTCTCGCCAATCATCCAGTCGCGGCGTGATGATGCAACTGCGTCGGGCGCTGGCGATGACGGTGTCCTGGCTCGCGACCGCGGCGGCGTGGTTAGCAGCAGCTAAATAGGCGCAACAACGGCGGCGACTGCAGGGACGGCGACGCCGGGGCGGGCGCTGTGCGCAAAGGGGAGTGGTAGGCGGGCGGCGCCGGAGGCTTCAACTGCGGCAGCCTCGGCTAGGGCGGCGGAAGGAGGATCCCCATCAGCCGGCGGTCGAGTGAGGCCTAAGCGGCGCGTAGAGGCGCCCGCCGTGTCCTCGGCGGGGGATCTCCATAGAGACCGTGACACATACAGAGGAGGGGGCCTGCGAGTGTCTACCGGACCCGAGCCAGCGACTCGGCCTCTGTCGCCGCCGCCTTCCCTGCTGCCCGCGCACATTTTCTCTCCACTCTGCTCGCCGCCTCGCGTTTCCTGGTGTGCCCGTACCCTCCAGTGTGGGCCGCGGGGACGGACTTGTGGGCTGGGGGTGGGCGGGGGGAGGCTCTAAGGCGGCCGCCTCTGCCTCTCCCGCCCCCTTACTCGCCCCGGAGCGGGAAGCAGCGGAGGCTCCGCCATGGCCTCAGAAGCCGGAGGAATAGGAGGGGGCGGTGGCGGCAAGATCCGGACGCGGCGTTGCCACCAGGGGCCAATTAAGCCTTACCAGCAGGGGCGACCAAAGCAGCAGGTACGGGATCCCGACCCCCGAGTGGTTCTGCGGGTCGGGAACTTGGCCGGAGGGAACCGGCGGTGAGGGGCAGGG